GAATCTGTACATTGCTTTGGGTACTGTCACCATCTTGACAATATTACGTTTTTAAATCCACGAACAAGGATGTGACTCCTTTTGTTTTGGTCCAATTTGGATATACTTTATTTTTCATGCCTAATTCTTTTAGCTAGGACTTATGGTACAATGTTGAATAGAAGTGGTGAGAGCAGTCACCCTGGTCTTGTTCTTGATCTTAGGGTGAAGACTTTCAGTTTTCTACTGCTGAGTATGATGTTAGCTGTGGGTTTTTTGTAGATGCCCTTTATCAGATCTAGGAAGTTTCCTTTTATTCTTAGTTTGTTGAATGTTTTTAATCATGAAAGGGTATTGGATTTTGTCAAATGCCCTTTCTGCATCAGTTGAGATGATCATGTGTTTTATAGTGTCTTACACTGATTGATTTTTTTATATTGGACCATCCTTGTATACCCTGTGCTATGGTTGGAATGTTTGTCCGCTCCAAAACTTGTGTTTAAATTTAATCCTCATTGTAACAGTATTAAGAAAATATGAAATCTGACTATGGTATTTAAAAGGTGGGCCTTTAAGGGTGTGGCCATTCATGGATTAATGGATTAACGTGTTATTGTGGGAGAGTGGACTGCTGGCTTTATAAGAAGAGGAAGAGAGACTTAGGCTAGTACACTAAGCCCCCTCATCATGTAATGCCCTATGCAGCATTGAGACTCTACAGAGAGTCCCTGTCAGCAAGAAGGCCCTAGCCAGATGTGGTCTCTGGACCTCAGACTTCCCAGCCTTCAGAACTGTAAGAAATAAATTTCTTTTCCTTGTAAATTACCTAGTTTCAGGTATTCTGTTATAAGCAACAGAAAATGGACTAAGACATCCAGGATAAATCTCACCTGTTCATGGTATATAATCTTTTTTTTAAAAATTATTTTTAATTATGGTAAATTGCACATGACATAAAATCATCTTAACCATTTTAAATATACAGTTCAATGGCATTAGATACATTCTCATTATTGTGCAACCAGTGCCACCATCCATTTTATCTTGCAGAATTTTTCACCTTGTAAAACCGAAATGCTCTACCCATTAAATAATAATTTTTAAGTCTTCTCTTCCCTCCAGGCCCTGGCAGTCACACTTCTACTTTCTGTTTATGTGAATTTGACTATTCTAGGTACCTCGTATAAGTGGAATCAATACAGTATTTGTCCTTTGGTTTACTTTACTTATCATGATGTCTTCAAGGTTCATCTGTGTTGTAGCTTGTGCTAGAATATCCTTCCTTTTTAAGACTAAATAATATTCCATCGTGTGAATATACCACATTTTATTTATCCATTTGTCTGTGGACCTTGTGGGTTGTTTCCACTCCTTTGCTATTGTGAATAATGCTCCATGAACAGGGGTGTACAAATATCTTTTCAAATCCTAGCTTTCAATTCTTTGAGTGTATACCTAGAAATACTTGCCAGGTCATATGGTAAAATCCTTTTAATATGCTGCTAGATTAGTTTTACTACTATTTTGTCAAGGATTTTTGTATTTATATTTACAAAGGATATTGGACTATAGTTTTCTTGTGATTTTTTTGTCTGACTTTGGTATGAGGGTAGTAGTCCTGGTGTCAAAATGAGTTAAGAAGTGTTTCCTTCTCTTCTATTTTTTTTTTTTTTTTTTTTTCCTTGAAGACTTTGAGGAGGATTGGTGTTACTTCTTTTTTAAATGATTGGTAGGATTCAGTCAAATCATCTGGTTCTGGACTTTTTTCCTGGGAGTTTTGATATGGTGTGATTGCTGATTCACCCTCTTTATCTGTTATAGGTATGTTTAGATTTTCTATTTCTTCTTGACTCATTTTTGGCAGTTTGTATATTCTTCGAACTTTCCATTTCACCTACATTGTCTGATTTGTTGGAATACAGTTATTCATAGTATTCTTTTATAATCCTATTTATTTCTGTAAGGGTGGTAATAGTGTTCACACTTTTATTCCTGATTTTGTTGATTTGAGTCTTCTTTCTTTTTTCCCCTAATCAGTCTAGCTTGAGATTTGTCAATGTTTTTGATGTCTTCAGAGAACTAACTTTTGATTTTGTTGATTTGCTCTGTTGATCTTATATTCTCTATTTCGTGGATCTCTGCTCTTATCATTATTATTTCCTTCCTTCTTCTTGTTTTGGGTTTAGTTTTCTCTTCTTTTTCTAGTCCTTTAAGGTGGAAGGATAGATTATTTATTTGAGCTAATTCTTCTTTTTTAATGTAGGTATTTATAGCTGTAAATTTCCCTCTGATCACTTTATGCAGTGGCATCTCAAAAGTTTTGATATGGTGTGTTTTCATTTTCATTCACTTCAAAGCATTTTATAATTTACCTTGTGTTTTGTTTTTTGCCCTAGTGATTTGCCTGTTTGTAAATTTTCCAAATTTCTGTCTGTTTTTGATTTCTAGTTTTATTCCACTGTGGTCAGCCAAGATACTTTGTATGATTTCAGTTTTAGCAGTTATTGAGGCTTGTTTTATGGCTGGGCACATGGTTTATCCTGGAGAATATTCCATGTGCATTGGAGAAAAATGTATGTGTTGCTGTTGTAGAGTGGAATGTTCTGTATATATCTGTTAGATCTAGTTGGTTTTTAGTGTTGTTCATGTGTTCTGTTTCCTTGTTTATGTTTATTTAATTGTGCTATCCATTGTTGAAAGTGGGAAGTTAATGTCTCCAGCTATTTTCTCCTTCAATTTTGTCTGTGTTTGCTTCATACATTTTGTTATACATTGTTAGGTTCATGTATGTTCATAATTATGTCTTCTTGATCCTTTTTTCATTATGTGATGTCCTTCTTTGTCTTGTGAGAATTTTTTCTTAAAGTCTGTTTGATCTTAGCATAGCCACATCAGCACTCTTTTGATTACTGCTTACATGGAATATCTTTTTTCATCTTTTTATTTTCAACATATTTGTTTTTGTTTCAGCAGTGAGTCTCTTGTAGACAGCATATAGTGAATCACTTTTTAAAAATCCATTCTGCCAATCTCTGCCTTTTAATTGGAGTGTTTAATGCATTTTCACTTAATGTAATTATGAATACAAAAGGGCTTCTGCCATTTTGCTATTTTTTTTCTCATATCTTTTGTCTTATATCTTTTCTGTTCCTAGTTTCCTCCATTACCACTTTCTTTTGTGTTTAAGATTTTCTCATGTTACATTTTGATTCCTTTCTCATTTCTTTTAGTATATATCTTTTACTATATATATGTTCTGAGTGGTTGCCTTGGGGATTATACTTAATTTATAGTGATTTAATTTGAATTAATACCAGCTTAGTTTTAATAATATACAAAAACTTTGCTTATATATATAGCTCTGTTCCTTCACCTTTATGTTATTGTTATCATAGATTATATCTTTATAATTGTGTGTCCATCAAGATAGATTTATGATGATTGTTTCATGTATTTTTCTAATTGGTTGATTTTTAAATGCTAAACCAACCAGACATTCTTAGAATAAATCCAGTTAAATAATGATGTGTTGTTATTTTATCCTTGTTATGTATTGCTAGTTCAATTTGCTAATATTTTGCTAAGGATTTTTGTGTCTCTATTCATGAAAGATATTGGTCTATAATTTTCTTTGTGTGTGTGTGTGTGTGTGTGTGTGTGTGTGTGTGTGATGTCTTTGTCAAGTTTTGGTATCAGTAATGCTGGTCTTACCAGTTGAGAATTGTTCCCTTCTCTGTTTTCTGAAGGAGTTTGTATAAAATTGGTGTTATGTCTTAAATGTTTGACAGAATTCATCAGTGTATTTGGATGTAGACTCTTTTGTGGGAAGGTTTTTAAATACTTATTGACTAATAATGTAGATATAGGGCTATTCAGATATTGGTGTTTCATAATGTGTCAGATTTGGCAATTTGTATTTTTTCAAAGAATTTGTCTAATCTAAGCTGTCAAGTTTATTAACATACAGTTGTTCATAATATTCTTCTAATATCCTTATAATGTCTGTAGTGATATAACTTAAAAAGTGCTTATACTAGCAATCTAACAAACACATATATTTCTTATCACATACTTTTTTTTTTTTTTTTGTCTTTTTCCGTGTCCGGCAACGGATCGCAACCCTCAGTGTCGCCCCCGTACCGGACCGGGACCGGCAACGGGATCGCAGCCCTCGGTGTTGCTCCCGCGCCTCGCTCAGCCAGTGAGCGGGAACCGGTCTGTATGTGGGATCCGAACCCTCGGCGGGAGCGCCACCACGCTTCCCAAGCGGCGCACTACAGCAGTGCGCCACCGGGCCGGCCCATCACATACTTTTCATTTTACAAAGATTAATTCTTAATTCTCACAAAAATTTATGAGGTAGATACTATTGTCATCTCCACATTACAGATGAAGAAACCAAGGTTAAACTAAGAGAGCTTAGGTGCCTTGCTTAATATTACAGAGCTGATGTATTAAGGTCTTGAATTGGCATCCTGATGGTCTGGGTCCAGAGACTTTTTTACTACCATTTACTCTGCCTTTCTTAAATGACAGAGATATGTGTTCTGTTCTTATGGAATTGTGCTATATTCTCTTTAGTAACCATTCTTACTCCTTTGTACCACTGAGTGGAAATATTTGTTTCTTATATTCGTAATTAGAACTTGAATGCCTTTTCTCCATAAAAACTTTACATACAATGGCTAGGCCTAGTTGAAATATTGTTAATACTCTTCTTCAGTCACATAATATTTTTTAAAAGACTTCTGGAGCTTCCCTGAGAAGTTCACCACAGTTTATAAAATGCAACATTGGTTCTGTGGGAAACTGAGAGAAGATATTTATTTTAAATTCATTTGCCTGAAAGGTTAGACTTCAGTTACATAGAAATTATACTTAACTTTTTGGAATCTCTGAACTTTTAAATTTACTCAGGTGTTTGTTTACAAGTCATATTTTTAAAAAGACAAACATGATTAATTTGTACACAGATTTTATTTTGTTTAGTTTTGATTAATTTGTTGATTAATGTCTTTCAGGGTTATTCAAATGCTCAGAAGAATACTCTTCTGAAGGTGGATCAGAACTGCGTTCGCAATTCTTACGATGTATTTTCTTTGCTGCGGTAAGAAACTTCTTAGAGTCCTCCTGAAGAATTTTCTTTGTTTTGAGTTTGTGACATTTCAATGTGAGAGAACGTATGGGAGCTTTAGAAGCTGTTACTCAGGTTTAGCATTTTTCAGTGAAAGCTTCATAAATTTTTGTAGCTACAGTAATTTAAGTTTATCTCTTTCACAGTCTTTGGAAAACCATTTCCTTTTTTTGGACAGTGGGAAAGAATGGTTGCAAGCTGGTAATCTTAAAACAGGGACATTATCTACTTTTGGATCTTTTGCACTATAATGAGCAGCAACCTGAAGTGCAACATTTAGACGTATCAAAGTCTTAATAACTACAGCATCACTAGGAAAGCCCTTCAACAGCCCCAAACATGGCTTAAAGTTTATAGTTATAGTTCATCTTGTTTGGCAAGTCAAGGAGCTTTGCATGAGTGTAATGCTGTAAGCTTTAAATGCCTCAGCTCTATATTTTCATAATGTCTGGGCTTAATTTTGAAAGATTTTTAAATTTGGCTTTAATTTTAAATGTGGTAGATCATCAAGGACATTTTCCCAGGGGGCAATGTACCAAAATAAATGCAATTTAAAATAAAGTTAGCAGTGACACTCAGCCTATGTTCATCCTGCTCAGATTGTTCATTGATATTTGATTTTGGCAGTATTTTTGTAATATTTACATAACACATCATAAATTTCAGACCATTAGACATCCTCTCTATATCTACTAGAGGAAGAGTCCAGAAGGATGATTGGAGAAATATTTATTTTATAAACATTATAAAATTGTCCTTTCCTTTGTGTAGCTTGAATCTTATACATGATGATATAGAGTTTGGTCACATGAACTCTTAAGAGAAAATGATTTTGACCAAAGTGAACACATGTATTTGATGACTTTTGATTCTTTATCTGAGTTTCGTTTCTAAGGTACACTCTAGATTCCTCAGGTGCATCAGTAATTTGAACTGTCTTATTAACAGTGGTCTCCTCATCACCATTGTATTCATTTATAGCTAATAGCACAGATATACTTTTTCTGAACCAGATCAAGTGTCTATTTATCAACCAAATTAATTGAACCCAAGTAATTACTCTGGATCTGGAAACATTAAATTGTATTTGTCAAAGTTAATGAGTAAAATGGAACTTTCTGTGATTGTTCTCTCTGACATTAGTAAAGAGTACCTATCATCTGCTATGTTAAAGTGCTCCTCTTTTCCCAGTTTTTGCCATGATAAATGTGAAGTGCTTGCTGGGAAACTTAATTTTGTGTGTGTCACATTATACTATTGTTCATAGTTTCCTCCCTAACTCAGGCAACATTTGTCCCTGGATAGTCTTTTTATTTTTATTTTTTTGGTGGCTGGCCAGTTCAGAGATTTGAACCCTTGACCTTGGTGTTATCAGCATCATGCTCTCACAAGTAAGCTAACAAGCCAGCCCTTGGAGTCATTTTTTTGAAGTATACCTTTTCTTTTCATGATGCTTTCTTGGTTTATAAAAATGCTGCTACTTGGTCTGAAATTTTATGTGGAAACATACAGAATCTGAACTCTTTAATATCACTTAACTCTATAAAATTCTCTGTGCTGTTTGGAGTTAGGATTAGAACCCAGGTCTCCTGATTCTGTTTTTTGAGAACATATTCTAGTTAATAACTTCCACTGTACCATTGTGCCATTAGTATGCATATATCCCCTCGACTTTTTGTGTGCGAGTGTCACAGAACAATAGGAAATCTTTGGAGCACCTAAAACTAGGGCATTAAAGCTCCTTCAGATGGATGTGTTGTACCATTTTGTAGGAATACAAAGACCTGAGATTTTATTCAGATATTTTGGCCTATAATTAAGAATTTAGGCTAATTTCAGTTTTGCCAAAGTATTAGCAGCTCTTTCCAAGTTTATATTTAGTGTGTGATAGTAATTGAACTTTTGCTTCTTAACCCTTGGAAATCCCTGGATTAAGGGTTTGTTGTCAGGTAAACAGATATTTAATTAGGAGCCACTTTATTCATTGTTATATTTGATACTTTAAGATGTTCACCACAAGGTGTCAATGTTGTTCTTTAACTGTCATTTGAAATTTCATTTATTTTACAATTTTGGGGTAAGAAAAGTAGGAGACTTCAGTAGAGTATTAAGCAGTGTTATAAATTTCCAGTATGCATTTTTTGTAGAAGTTAGCTTTTAACAATCTATGTTATTATTCCTGCTAGGTTAAGGAATATGGCCTTATAAGATAGCTTTTTAATAGGCTCATTAGATAGCTTTTTCCTTTTGGTTTTATTAGTTATGGTTTTTTTCTTTATCCTGTTGGTGGTAGGGAGTTATTGAAAGATTTGGAGGAGGTGTGACATGGTCAGGTTGCAATTTGGAATTCTAATCATGGTGACAGTGTGGAATAGAACTGAGGGAAGAGAATGGAAACAAAGAGTCATCTCTAAACCTACCTGTTCTCTGAGATTGAAAGATTATTTTTGGTATTAAAAAACTTTTTACCCCCTTCTTTTATACTTCCTGAAAGAGATGGCTCTGTTGTAGTGAGACAAGTGATAATAATTCTGATATTCTTCTAGGAAAGTTTTTATTATTTTTATTTTTTCCTTCCTCTTTTGAAATGCCCTGCTTTTGCTAGTTTCATAAGTGGAAGTATCATAGAGAAATTAAGGGTTTTGATCTTCCACATAGTTTCCAATCCTAAAATTACCATGTGTAGGTAGATTGGATGCAAGACTTTGGGCATGTTACTTAACTTTTATATGCCTCAGCCTACTGTTGTAAAATATTGCGAGAGTTGGGCCGGCCCGGTGGCGCACTGGATAAGTGCGCCGCTTGGGAAGCGCGGTGGCGCTCCCGCCCGAGGGTTCGGATCCCACATACAGACCGGTTCCCGCTCACTGGCTGAGCGAGGCACGGGGGCAACACCGAGGGTTGCGGTCCCGTTGCCGGTCCCCGGTCCGGTGCGGGGGCGACACTGAGGGTTGCGATCCGTTGCCGGACACGGAAAAAAAGACAAAAAAAAAAAAAAAAGAAATATTGCGAGAGTTAAGTAAGGTGAAATATTTGAAAGATCCTAGGACAGTTACTGGCTTATAGTAGACATTCAATAACTATGTTTTCTTCTTTCCCATTCCTTCCCCAGTCTTGGAATTAGCTTTCTCTTCGAAGCCAATGTTTTTTTTTCTTGTTATGTTACCTCTAGCTTTTCTACTTTTCAGCATAATTTCCTTCTTTTCTCTCACCATTCCAATGTTTACCACCTCTGGTTTTGAAGTTAACAGTCATAATAAAAAATGTTTAACGTGTATGTTCTCACTAATGGCATTGAAAGCATCTTGATGGAAGGGATTATTTCATATAGCTGTTTTCTCCTCTTTTTGTATCTATCAACAACTCTTGGTTAATTGTTGGAGTTCCTTTGGCTCCTGTGCTTAGGACTCTTTGCATTATTTTTCCTCCCTTGGCATTCTCTCCTGTTACAACAGCTTCAGCTAACACATCCACATCTTAATAACTCTCAAATCTACATCTCTAGTTCCTGCCCCTCTTTTGTATTTCCAGTTTGTATTTTCTAGTGATGATTGGACATTTATATTTTCATGTCCTGAGGAACCTCAACCCCAACATGTCCAGAGTCACCTCATTGGTTTAATCTTCCTCTTCTTTTTCTTTTTCCTGGTTGTTCTAATGGTATTATCATCATCCCAGTCACCCAAGCAAGTAGTAATCTCAGTCATTTTGGTTTTTCTCACTCTTCCTTCTTCAGTGATATATGCAGTTGGTTATAAATCTTGTTGAATTTTTGGTGAGATGTCTCATCTATATACCCTTTTCTGTTCTCACCTCTATTTTCCTGGACTATTTCCTGACCTCCTAACCAATCCCTCTACTTCCAGTTTTTCTTTCCTGCAATCTAAAACTGTTACCTATCAAGTACTTAATTTGTGCCAGGAACTCTTCTATTTGCTTTATAGTAATTAACTTTTAATTCTTACAACAACCCTATGTGGGACTATTCCTTATTCCTATTTACAAATTGAGGCACAAAGCAGTTAAGTAGCTTTCTTGAGGGCATACAACTTGTTAGTGTTAGAGCCTGTATTCAAACCCAGGCAGTCTGGCTCCAGATCCCATCTTCTTAACCAGTTTATTTTATAGCTTTATAATCTTTCACACTGCTTCAGTACCTTTTGTCTGCCACATTGCTGCCAGAGTGATCTTCTAAAAGATACATCAATTTTGTCACTCACAGGGCTTGTAAATCTTTGAGCCATCATACAGGATAAAGTTCACACTTCTTAATGTGGTATTCAAAGGACATTGTTCAAAACATTCCCATAGGGACTGTTGTCTTTATTTCAAGTCTTCCCACACCCTACCTGTATAATTAGTAGTTATAATTTATGGAGCACTTACTGTGTTATAATTAGTTCTTCATTGTTGGATTCTCCCTCCCCTTTTCTCAACATCTCCAAATTGAGAGCTCCTTCAAGCAAGAATCTTTGTTTTATTGATCTTTATGTTAGCCCTATCACAATGCTTATCATTAAGCAGATAGTAAATGCTGTTTTTTGGTTTTTTTTTTCCTTTTTGTCTTTTTTCGTGTCCGGCAACAGATCGCAACCCTCAGTGTCGTGCCCGTACCGGACCGGGACCAGCAACGGGATCACAACCCTCGGTGCTGCGCCCACACCTCGCTCAGCCAGTGAGCGGGAACCGGTCTGTATGTGGGATCCGAACCCTCGGTGGGAGCGCCACTGCACTCCCAAGTGGCGCACTGTAGCAGTGCGCCACCGGGCTGGCCCGTAAATGCTGTTTTTATTGATCAAACTGAACTATTCTTCAGGTTACTCACAGAGGACTCACAGAGGACTAAGGTTTTGTTATTCCTGTCATTGGTTTGTGTCTGGTAAAGTGAGAGTTGTAAAAAATTTCTAGGCTAATATCAAAAAGTGTTGAAAATGAAGTTGGATTTGTGAGCCTTCAGCTGCCTCTTTGCTTTC